CATGAGGGTGTACATAAGTTATCATGTCTTCGGGGCGTAAAACATATCATGTTATTTGCAGGGAAGTTATCATGGTATGTTTCAACAACTCCCCCCATCTCCACCCCCGTCACGTACCAAGACTAGGGTACATAAGTTATCAGTTTTGCAGTATGTGAGTTACCATGGTATTCACGCAAAAGTTACCGGGGGGGTATATTTTATCAACCCCCTCCCCTCCCCCCTATACCCCGGTCGACAAAGTTACCAGGACTAGGGTACTTAAGTTATCAAGTCTACGGCGTGTGAGTTACCGTGTGTATTAGCATTAAAGTTATCAAGGGTATATTTCATCGCCCCCTCGCCAACACTACAGCCGATGAAAACATTCACCGGTTAACAATTTCTGCAAGTATAAAATAAAGAAAATTAGTGTGTTTCGGTTTACTGGACAACAACTGTGGCCAATGTGACTAGATGATTGGGCCAAAATTTTCAACACATTGGCCTTAATTGTTTGACTTTTTTACCCGCATAGAGTAAAGTACAAAACTAATCTAACCTGCGTCTAGTCAACAAAAAGGAGCTAGCTCGGTGGTTCACGGGACTGTGTAGCAACCATTTGGTCATGGGGTTGACTCGTGTGAACGCACTTATTTTTGCATTATGTAGTCGGGCGGGAGAGAATTCCACGGGTGGCCGGACGCGCTGGGATCCAGATTGAACGGATATCAATCCGTTTGGATATGTTTCAAAACTGAGGTAGTTCGGAAGATAGATTTAGTTGCTTATGACTCCATCAACCTCAAGAAGAAAGGGGTCTCAATTTCTTTCAAGAATTGGCATGGAGAGCTGCCTGCTTATGACTCCCTGACTGAGATTTTGGTGGAAATTGTGGGTCTGCCTCCTGTGTGGTGTTCTTGGTCTGTGATTGCCCAAGTTGCTGCCACTTTGGGTGTCATCACTAACATCGATTCGCATGGGATTTTCAGTAGTTTTTATGAGGTGGTGAGAGTTCAGGTGGCTGTTAGAGACCCTGCATTGATCCCTAGAGACAGACTTTTTGAAATACAGCAAGAGCTGTTCTTATTCACCTTCAAAGTTGATGAGGGTGAGCCTGTGGAATCTGACAACCCCTCTGATCCCCCAGACCACCAAAATGATGATGATGGGAGTGGCAAGAAACAGGAGGGTGAAGATGAGTTCAGCAATGATGACCTGCTAGGAGAGGAGATGGAGCATGACCTTGATAACAGTAGGAAGAACTCCAATGTCAGACCAAGACCTGCCTCAGCTCCTAGTGGGTCTAGAAACAGAACACATACTATGGATGATGTCTCTTCCCCTGTTCTCTCTGGGGTGGAGATGAATAACAACATCCCTTTGGAGAGATCAGTTTTCTTGAAGATTCAGGATGCTCCACTTACCAAAAGCTACCTGCAAGCTGTTAAGAAAACCCCAGTGGAGAATTGTGGTACTATCCTCCTTCCTGAGTTTGAAGCTGCTTCAAAAGATGGGGTGACCAGTTCTGGAAAATTCCCTGCTCCTCTTGGGGGGGTTAATTCCTTGCCCCTCCCTTACAGCTACTCTTAAAGCTGGGAGAGACAAATGGGGCCCTGTTATTTCCACTAGGATGAGTGACAGGATCAAGAGAGACGGGAAGCCAGCCTTGGTCAAAGCTCAAGAAATTAAGCAGATGAAGAACTTGGAGATCCCTAGAGGTAATAATCCCAAGGTCTTCCATAATTCTTTTGCTTTTCTAGATAATGATGATCTAATTTCTAAAGCCTTCAAGGCCGCCATTGTGATAGGAGATAATCCTTCTCAAGCTAGCGATAATGTTGAGGTTATTAGGAAGTTAGAGCTAGATAGATTAGGTAAGTTTAAACAGGATAATCCTGAGGTTTTTCTTCCTGGAGACATTGATGTCACCAAGGAAGATTACTACAATGATTACAATTCTGTTGCTAATATTGACACAAAAAATGACCACTACTCTGATCCACATATGGAAATAGAGTCTGATGATGCCTATACTTGGATAGAGGCTAAAAGTCAGAGGTCCAAAAAGTGTCGAGCTAAAATTTCCACTAGATTTAGATGGTAGGTCTATTTTGGAATGTGAGAGGGCTTAATGGCCCTCATAAGATCCCTAAGGTGCAAGAGCTCATTAGATCTCACTGCCCTGACTTTGTTTGCTTATCTGAAACCAAGAAAACTGAGTTTAGTGTTTCTCAGCTAGAGGCTATAGACTCTAGGAATGGTTTTATCTGGAATTGGCTGCCTGCTAATAACACTACTGGTGGTTTGTTGGTGGGGGTCAAGGAAGATAAATTTGAAATCATAGCTTGTAATGTTCTCACTTACAGTATCTCTTGTTTGCTGAAGAACAAGTGTAATAACACTGTTTGGAGGCTTATTTCTGTTTATGGTTCTGCCTATGAGGATTATAAGCTTGATTTTATTAATGAGCTTCATAACCTCCTAAATAACTGGTCTGGGCCCACCATAGTGGGAGGTGACTTCAATTTGGTTAGAACTGCTGAGGACAAGAACACTGGTCTAGTCAACCAACATTGGGCTGATCTCTTCAATGACTGGATTAATAAATTCTGCCTCATTGAGATTAAGAATGCTGGTAGAAAGTTTACTTGGGCCAATAACCAAGACAAT